GGTATGTTTGAGTTTGCCAAGTTTTTTTTTAATCGTAAATTCTCTATTTTAGATCTTTTCCCTAATAAAACAGTATTTTAGATCCATAATTGCAGATTTCTCGCGTGCAAGAACGTATGCCCCGCCGACCAAATCACGCTCAATCGAGAGCAGATACGTGGAAAAGAGTCAAAAGAAGTTTTGAGTGAGTTTTATATCCGATTACTTCCGGTAATGGATTTTGGGAACTTTGACGGCTTTGGTGATTGCAAACGTTTAAAAAAACCATTGCAGCTATTTGTGGTCAGCAGCGGTTCAACTGTGGAAGCCATTCGAACTGGATCGACTGGATATCCTATGCAGCTGGTCGTACCTGGCTCTGCAATTTGCTGATGCCGCTGATGAAGACACCATAGAACTTATTGAGGTGAAGAGCTTATTTTTAAAAAAATGTTAATTAAGGGGTTTTAATAATTACTTTACATATTTTAAGTGCAAAAAGTTAGTGCTATTGAGGCGCAAAATAGTGTCTAATTCAGCAACGTCAAAAAATGCCGTGGAAAAATTTAAAATTATAATAGATTGCCATCAAATGTGGAAATCTAAGGAAACTGTTTTTTTTTTAAATACTTTTACCCTCAGAATCTAAGCTTTTACTTTTAGAATGCAAAATCCCAAGCAGCACATGTGCTGGCCACAACCATCGTAGTTGAAAATGCGCATCAAGCTAATCAAAGAGTGGCTACAGTGGAGAGAAATATCAAAGAGACGAAGTCGTTGGCGGAGAAACTGGGAAAAAAGGTGCGTGAAGTGTGTTTTTCTCTATAACTATCCTCCCCATACTCTTATAATTCAAAGCATAAAATCTATGTTTCTGATCGGCGGCTAGAGGTTTATTTTACATATTAGCATAAAACTGTTTTCGAAACAACGCAAATGCAGTGCAAAGGAGGTATAAGATAGATTTAAGGGTTGCCTCGTTCTCTAAAAAACGTAGAGCAGATCGAATATAAAATAACTTGGTTTACCTACAAATTATACTCCAAATATTTTCATGAGGTTATTTTATAATTGACTTAATTTTATAAAGTTTAATTCCTTAACAACATCCACCTTGTACAATAAATCACGAAGATATCCGTAGAAATTCCAAAAATAGTAAAACTTCATAGTGAAGATAATTGTATGCTCAAAGCGCAACCTTCTCCTTTTCAAAATTGGAGCAATTTGGTGAAAAAATTCAAGATATGAGAAC